GCTAGCCTTATTTTACAGATGAGGAGACTGAGGATCAGAGACCTGGGATGACTTGTGTGACGTCTGATCGCTGGAGGGACCGGCCTGGCTCCATGCCTGGGAGGAGCTCATGGGAAGGGCGATGGGCAGCCCAGGCTTAGCCTTGGCTCCATCATCATCTCCCTGCATGTCCTCGCATATATCACTGTGCCTCTTTGGGCCTTGGTCACCACATCTGTAACATGGTACTCCTATTCCTCCCTCCTCGAGGTGTTGAGGAGTGAACAGAATTAGCATTCACAAGAGGTTCTTAGCACTTGCCTGGCCCCAGGTGGCATTGAAAATAGTGAACACCAGTGTGGCTGAGGCACTGACCACAGAAAGTACTGCAGCCAGGACTGTGCTGGGCTAGGCAGGGACCGTTGGCTGGGTCATGGAGCTCAAGGAGCTGACGGTTAGGGCGAGGGAGAGGAGAGGGACTATTTACCACCGGTATGGAGGGTTTTCACTACTTTAATGACCAGTACAATCGTACCAGTGTGCACTAGCTGAAAATCAGCCCTGCACGAGACATAATAAATGTCCAATAAATGGTAGCTATCGTTATTATTATATTATTACTAAATGTGAGCTATATATAATCGGGATTGAATTCAGGCACATTTAGACTCCAGATCCTAGACTGTTCGCAAGAAGGCTGTTTCCCCAACAGAAACGTCCAAATCCGTATCCTCTGACGTCTAAGTCTCTTAGGCAGCCCTGAGCAGAAGAAAATGCATCTGATGATGCCGGTGACCTTGGCCGGGTCCCTGTTCCTCTCTAAGCTTCCAGGAAGATGGGGCATGAACGAGACAACCCCTAAGGGCTCTCTGAGGCTAGCACTCCTTGTACCCCAGCCCACTCGCCAGGGAAACAGGTACCAATGAAGTCGTCCCGACGGGGGACACCAGCCCACCCTGCCACGCAGGAGAAGCCTGGGTATAAATTCTGCTAGTGGAACTTGGTGTCTGAAAGGTGGATTATAGAAGTGCCATTTGGAAGATTGAATGGCCCATAAACATTTTCATATTTCATTAGCCGATTAATGGGCATCTCTCTCTTTTTGGCGAGTCTGCTGATTCTCAGCAGAAATTGCAGGGAGTAAATGGAGGCATCTGGGGGAACCTTTCCGGGTCCCCGTCCTGTTATAGATTGCCCCAATTAATGCCCGTCCTGGGCTCCACCAAGAAGCCTCCTTCCTGTCCAGTTACTGTGAATAGATTTCTCATAAGTGGCTGGATTGTAAAAACCTCATAACTCAGTTTAATGCCCCCAATAAAATGATCTCAGGACGTCAGCCCGGAATCACTGGCAGCGCTGGTGATGAGGAGACCTGGCTCCGCTGCTTGCTGTTTACGCTTTTCCTTCACCTTTGCCCAGGGCAGATGGGGCTGGGATTGGGTGACTCTGCTCCCCTTGGGTGTGCCTTCACCCCCTTCCCAGCCAGACTTGTTGTCTGCTTATTGCGTCCACAAACATTTCTAAGCAGTGTGGCAGAACTGATGGCATTCGGGGGAAGGGGGAATGCTTAACGGCTATTATTCATCCTCATCATGAAACAGTACTGGTCTTCCCATTTCTCAGATGAGAAAACTGAGGCACAGAGAAGGGAGGTCATTTATTCGGTCACACAGCTGTTAAATGGGAAAAGCTAAGATCCTGAGCCCCCGGCTAACCTGCCTTTGCCCGCTAGTGTGACCACGGGCTTGCTCTTTTACCTCTCTGAGCCTGTCTTCCCACCTGAGGAATCAGACCAAGCCCTACCTGGCACAGGTATGATGAGGAGTCAATGAGAGCTTGCTTGTCATAACCTAAGCACTCTGTCAATGGTTGTTTCCTTCCTTTTCTGTCTCTTGGGTCTTCTTATGTCCCTGCAGCCCTTGACATTTTCACTGAGGCCCTGCATAGGGATTACTTAAGAGCGAGGAGTGGGAAGGAGGGAGTGGAACCCAGGGGTGATGTCACTGATGTTCTGTGAAGTGCAACGCGGAGCTCCTGCTGGGGCCGAGTGGCTGCTCTCTGGGGACGGTGGAGTCAGATAGGGCTGATGCTAAGAGCTCAGAGCGGGGGATCCGGGCTGGGCTGAGCCTGCCTGCCCTGCCTGCGTGGGCCCTGACTCTGCAGTGGGGAGAGGGTGCTCCCGCTCTGCCTCCGGAAGATAATTCTCAAGATGCTCACTATGAGTGAAGGCTGGTGCTCCCACCTATTGAGGGCCTACTATGTGCCACACACGTGTTGTGGGCCATCCACGGGAATCTAACTTAGCTCTGGGACATAGGTAACTGTAGCCCCACTTTCCAGATGAAGAGACTGAGGTGCAGCCTGGTCTGTTTGACTTCAAAGCGCAGATTTGTCCCTCTGCAACCTCTGGGAATCTGGTTAATCTGTTTAGAATGCTTCTGGCTGAGGATGAGGGAGACAGGGAGTCACGGCGGAGAGGGAGGATGAGGATGCAGTGCAGTCACTGGGGAGAGGCCCTGACATCTGTCTTCTGTCCTGCACCCAACAGGCCACAGTCACCAGTGGCCTCTGCTCTCTATGTGTCCATCTCATCCTTTGGAAAAGGACCTCAAACCACAAATCAGGAAGATGATGGGCTTTTGAGTCAGGGAAGCTGGGTGTCAGCTTCAGCTTTGCACTGACCTGCTGCATGGGCCTGGGCAAGTGGCTACACTTTCCTGCGCCTCAGTTTGCTCATCTGTAAATGGGACTGATAATATTTACCCATAGGTTCTGAAGATTCAAAAGATAATATGTGGGGGCTCCTGGTACATACTAGGGGCTCAACATGGATTAGTTCCCTCCTCTTTTCCCAGCCTGGTCTAAAGAGGGGTGGGAGGCGGTCACCTAGTTCACCCCCCTATCTCCTGACGTAAGAATCATAGATTCGAACCCTGCCCCA